CTTCTTGCCCTTCCAGTTAGAAAGTGAACTCACTCCCTGCGGTGCAATTTCTAGCTCAACAATCGACAGGTCTGTAAGAGAGACAACAACAGTAGGGAGAGGCATGTGCCTTAGAATAAGCAGCCACTGGAAGACAAAAGGGCAGCATTTGCCCAAGGAGGAAGTTCAGAAGGGTTAGATAAAAAGAAGAAATGTTGTTGTTGCTGTTGTTTTTGTTTCTAGGTGCCAACTCATAGCAACCACAGAAAGAAACACTTCCCGGTCCCGTGCCATGCTCACAGGTGTTCCTAGGCTTGAGCCCAAGAAGGAGGAATTGGGATGGGAAATACAAGGAGGAAGCGGGATAAGGGATGTTATACAGTGCAGATTGCAATCAGGGACATTAAACAAAATGGGCTTGAATTGATTTAGGAAGGAAAACTGATCTATGTTCTACATCTTCACCCAATTCCCCCAAAAACCCAAAAAGCAATTTTGGGGTTTTTCTTAAAAGGTAATTTAAAAAGTCACTTATCCCTTCCCCCATGGTTTCTGTTGTTCTTCCCCCTGTAGGAGTGTGTGTGATTATGTGTGGCTCAGTGTGAGATACGAAAAATAATAATTTACAATCAAGGGGTCCTGAGGGGGCAGGGAGAGGAGCTGATAGCAAGAGCTCAATAGAAATGTCTAGAAAAGAATGATGGCAACCTATGTACAAATATGCCTGATACATATGGATTGTATGGATTGTTGTAAGTGCCCCCAATAAAATGATCTTTTAATAAGCAAAAGTCACTTATCCGTTAGTAGGGTTTCAAATGTGAAGAGGGGAGAAACTGACTTCACCAATATCTATGAACACAACTATGAATGAATCCACAATTTGGTCTCCAAGGCTATGGGATACGTACCTGCTACTGACCTGCTGGGCGCTGGGATGGTCAGAGCTCAGGCACAGGCACCCACTATCGAGAGGTGAGACTAGTGTCTACTTTTCTCCATGGCCACAGGGCCCCCACCTTATCTAGCTAGGAGGGAACACAGACCCACTTAACAATACTTGCATAGAACCCAAAGGGCTGGTACTATGTTTCTGGATGGGCACTTCTGACCTACTTTCTAAGTAGACATTGGTGAGCCAGCCCATGTGCGATAGACTACTGATACTTTAGACTCTATTCTTTTGAGACACACAACAGCCTTCATAGGCCAGACAAGGACGACCCTTGTGTGAAATCCCATTAAGTGAACTGGGCTTTACCTCAAACTCACTTGTTGCCCTTGGACTTAAAGTTGAAATTCCCTAGTGTGAAGAAGAAGCAGGTGGCTGCTATCCCAAGGATATAGAACTAGTGGTTGTTGGACCTTGGTTCAGATATCTTGCCTTGAGGGTGCCCAGTGACTGGTGCTCTGGGACTACCATATACTTCCTATTTTAATGTCTTCCTTATTTTATTATGTCAGGGTAGGCAGAGCTCTGCCATTGTCGATGAATGGCATTCTCGATAAACTTGCCCTTAAAAAAACTTCTCCCAGGACAGAAGAGCCCCCACCCCCACCCCATAACACCTCCAGGAGCTACATGTATGTCCCTCTAAAAATCTTAAGTTCTGAGTCTCTGGCACCGGAAGCTACAACCAGACTAGAGCCAGATGAAGCCAGAAGGAGAGCCCCTCTCTCCTGTCATTACTCAGTTTGTCCCTTTCTAAGCCCCAACTGTGGGGTGGGGGTGGGGGACCTTCAGGCAGGAGAAGCACATTTAGGAATACTAACAAAGGAAAATAATTGTCTGGGTTTGGGGAGGCCAGGGGCTTTTTGTCTCCTGCTGGCAGGCCCAAAGACAGGAGATGGTTGACCCCAACAGAGGGGTGGGCAAGTCATCCTTTCAGTGGACACCAGACCCCAACAGCCTCGATGGTCACAGGGTGGTCTGGGGACCAGCAGTGTCAAAATCACCGGTGAGTGTGTTAGGGGCAGGCTCTGAAGTCCCCACACCCACAACCTGCACTTGGCAGGATCGTCAGAGAACCTGAGGCGCTCTGGCAGCATGGTGGGCGATGCATTTAGTTGCTAACCACAAAGTCAGCAGTTCAAACCTGCCAGTCAGTCCAAGGGGGAAAGAGGAGGCTGGCTGCTTCTGGAAAAGTTTTAAGTCTCAGAAACCCTGAGGGGCAGTTCTGCCTGTCTTATAGGGTCCCTAAGAGTCAGAATTGACTCAATGGCCGTGAGCTTTGAGGTTCAGACCACCTGAAGAACTCTCGTGGCACAGGGGTTACAAGCTGGGCGGCAAACTGCAGGATCAGCAGTTTGAACCCCCAGCTGCTCCACTGGAGAAACGTGAAGCTTTCTGCTCCTCTAAAGATTTACAGTCAGAATGTTCCTAGAAGGAAGGGTGGAGAGACTTCATCGCATCTTGTCAGGAGAGAACAATCCCAGGGGAAGGAGGTCCTGTTTGCTAAGGTAGCAGAATAGCGGAAGAGAGGAAGACCTTCAACGTCACAGTGGCTGTGTCGCTGAGCTCAAACACAGGCACAACGGTGAGAAGGGCCCAAGACCGGGCAGGATTTCAATCTGTTGTAAACAGGGTCGCTGTGAGTCAAAACCAACAGGACAGCATCTGAACAATAATAACAACAACAACAATGACAATAACTAAGATTTACAGCCACGGAATCCCAAAGGGGCAGTTCTACCCCGTCCTATGGGGTCTCGATGCACCAGAATCAACTCAAAGGCAGCCAGTTTGATTTTTATGCGTTGGGGTTTACAGATCACCTGTCTGTACAGAAGAGTGGGAGAAGCTCGTCCCAGGCACAGATCACGGATTCTCTGGCCCGCTGGGCATCCACGTTACCTGTGCAGCTGCTAAAACCACATTCCTGAGGCATCACCTCAACACTTGGCTATTTGATAAAGCTGTACTCACCCAGCTTAACACGAGGGACTCCATCTTGTTTCAAAGTGCCTTTAACTCTTGGTAGTCGTTAGCCCCCTTCTCCTCTTCTCTTTCCCAGCTCTCCTGACAAGACCTTGACTCTTCCGAGATGCCTCCAAACCCTGCCTATCCAACTATCAAGAAATGTATACTATCTTCTAAGACCTTGTGTTAGCACCTGCAACTGTGCTTGTGTTAGTCTGGGTTGAATAGAGAAATAAATTCATGGACACTCACATGTGTATAAGAAAGAGCTTTATATACAAGAGCCATTCAATATTAAGAAAACATCCCAGCCCAATTCAGGTCAAGCCACAAGTTTGATATTAGCCCACATGTCTGATACCAAGCTATAAAGTCCTCTTCAGACTTATGAAATACATGCAGTGATGTCTAATGCAGGAAGATCAGAGGCCAGTGGGTGGGAAGTCTTGTGCATCTAGGGGCATTGTAAGCATCTCAGTGCTGGCAGGGGTCTCCACGTGGCTTCTCTGGCTCCAGAGGTCTGGCTCCATCAATCTCTCCCCATGTGTCTTCTCCATAGAGTTGTCTGTCTTGCAGGGAGTAAGCAGAGAGAGAGAGCATCTCCAGTCTCCAAGGAGGAAATACATGAGTTCCCAGAATCCTCAGGAGAAGGCCATGTCCACACAGAGGCCTCATTGGCTATACAGTGAACCCTCGCCACTTCGCGCTTCTACTTCCGCGGCTTCACTCTATCG